ACAGAATACTTTCACTTCACAGCGGTATTCTGTGAGGCTTTGGTACTTTCAAACGTGCCCGTGCAACAGGAGATGTTGCTGGAATGAGTATCACTGCGATGAAGTAATTGTAAGCAATAACCATTATTTCGATATCATTCCAATTTATGGCATTTATAACATTTAAGTATACGGTATGCACCAAGAGAAGCCAAAGACGAGAATTCTGAGATCATTTATACGCGAAATAGAATCTTACTAACAAGTCTGCAAGACTGGACTTGGCGAATGAACGGGTCTGAAGCCAGTTAAATGAATGACGCCAATATATACCTGTTACTAGAGAAAGCATCACTAGTTAACTGTCCAGATAGAGTGGAAAAGTTATTAAAATCGACCGTTAAGCAGTTAACTTTCTTAGCGATAGGATATAGCTGAAATGAGACGTGCAGTGAAATTCGATTAACTAGAACCGTGGGAGCGATGGAAAGTGATTATAGAAATGGAAATGTGGATTAAAGTAGTTGCATTTCCGTTCAAGTTTGCGATTGCTATAGATTTAGTTGCAGTTTCCTCCAATAGTGATTTAATTTTTGTAGAAAACTACTCTAAACCGCAGGATATCCACTAGGAGAGTTACGAGTATAGACTATAGAATATTCTTAGACCCGGTAAAAAGAGGTACCAGTCACTGCTGACTGACTTTGCAAAGCAACAACCACTTATATAAAAGAATAACAACAGCTTCGCGAATGGACCACTTCGAGTCAAATTCAAATATCTTTATTCAACATAGGAGTGTGACACTCCCTTATTGATAGTCAAAATACTACCAACGGTTCGGAAAGGAAAGCCACTGAAGCCACTGAGAAGAATCGTTGAAAGAAACTCAAAAAGGGCGGGGAAGTGTCATGGTTTCACAGAAGACTGGGGGAGGTAAAATTATTTATACTTTTGTGTTAAGTTGAGTAACTCAGGTAAAAAGTGCTCTACATTTTCATTCTCATTAACATATTGGGTATTGCCAGCAACTTAGGTGGCAGTCCTCAATTACATTAGGTGAGATACTTTTTTGGCTGCCACTCCAGTGAAATTTAAAGAAAGAATTAATGAGATTCCGCAACTTCGCATTCCTTCCTAACGTGCTGAAAAGGTCTTAGTAACATCTTAACTTTCCCACAGGAAGAATTGCATTTTTTCCCCTCTATGTAAGTAAAGTGAAATTATTTTTAATCTACGCTAAGCATCTATTCTCTTTGATCATAACACATTAACTTTCTCTTCCATTGTTGCAATTGACAATAATACACCAACAATTGGTTGGTTGGCGATCTTCAGCATACCTTATACACTTTTCGGGAAATCAACTTATTTTATATAGATACTATAGAATAAGATGCAGTGATAGCACAGTGTCCGAGCGCGCGCCTTTAATTAAATATACTTGAGCAACCTGAATTCAAAACACGTTGCAAGGACCAATGAAATTATAAATTGCAATTTTGATTACTAACTTATCACAAACTCAGTGGTGAAGGAATACATTGCGAGAAAACTTTCATATTTTTATTAATGAAGCCTACTACTGGTGGTATATGCCCCTAGTAACTTCTGTATACAGGAGGCTTTTGCTCATCAGTGGGACATAAACAGGCTGTTACTGTACTTAAGAAGACACATATACCATAATTTTTTGAATTCGCAGACTAATGACACAAACATCGGTATTTTTCTCACACGTTCGGGAAATCGAATACCTAGAAGTTGTGCATTTAATGGAGCAGATTTGTGGAATTATCCTCATGGTTCGCGTTTTAAAATACGGACACACAAAAATTCCGAGAAGGTTCCACTGATGACTCGTCTCGGAACTATTGGAGGCTCTATTTAATGCTTTAGTGCTACACATCCAGAGGGCGTCCACGTCATCGACGTAAATTTCAGGATTGTTCGGGCAGAATCAGATCTGCCCATATATTATCTTAACATTCAAATTACTTCTTTAAATCTTTACAGTTCTAATCTCTGCACTTAAGATGAAACATCAAAATGTGTAGAAGAATTAAGATAAGTTTATCGACGCTGTGGTAAATGCGAAAAAGCAATAAAGGACGCTGAGATTTTCGTCGGTGTGGCAATCGGACGCTTAGCTTAGTGGTTAAAGCGTCTGGGCGCGAATTCCGAAGACGCGGGTTCGATTACCACATAAATTTTCGTACTAATTTCTACACATTTTAATTGAAATTAATGTTCAGAGTACATTAAATACTGCTTCCAAATAACCGTGTGTTCATCTGTAAATGGTATGACATATCAAGTCTTACAGAAGACTCACAGTCTATGTCACTATGTCACAGTATATATCATTATATTCTTACCAATACGTGTCGTTGTATCCCTAAATGCAGATTTGTATATAAGATCCTAATTACAAAACATTTGAAACAAACACAATCGCTAAGATTTACACAAAACATATTGTACACAATTACATTTACCAATTTGCAACATAGCAAAAGTCAATTTTCTCGTGAAAAATGGTAAGAAGATAACTAATGTCCGCGCTGTCATTGCCCCCGAAATGACATTTTAAAGAACGATTAGCGACCACGTTCTAAATGACGACGAAATTATTTATTTTTAAAGTACACGGAACGTTCAGGTTGCTACAAGTATTTATTAATGGGATTCATATCCAAAGAAACAATAGCCTCTTTTTTAACCGACTTCAAAAAAGGAGAAGGTTCCTCAATTCGATCGTATATATTTTTATTTTTTTTTGTGTGTTCGGGGATAACTTCATCATTTATGAACCGATTTTGATGATTCTTTTTTTGTTGGAAAGCTGATATCCCAAGGGTGGTACCATGATAAGGAAACTCAGATCTGATGATGGGATCCCAGAGAAATCGAGGGCATTCCTTAAATGTTATAGGTGTTGACAATGCTTTTAGTTCCTGTTTGAAGTTAGTTTTTTTTTGTTCAAAATTATTATAATTATAATTTGCCTTTTACTGACGCCTTTCAGTCAAAGATGTGGGGTGGATGCTTGGACGGTTAGCTTCGCCATTTACGTTTGCTGGATTAAGAAATTGCGGTTGTTTATTCACGTATATTGAATGTTCACATTTTATTTGTAGCATTCCTGTTTTTTAAATATTAATATTTTCAGCATTCTTTACTTTCTAATGAAACACAATATCTATTAACTTCCAGTAATATTAATCGATCGTTATTAACACAGATAATGTGCCTCGCATAATGGTGACGAGCCTAGTAGCGAACAGGCTTTCGTTGGAATTTTGAAATTCCAAGAGTGAAGAAAACTAAAAAATAATTTTCTATCCATATTGCTTGCCAGTGCAATGAAAGTACACCAAAGAAGTAAATAAAACTTCGTTAGAGTTAATTACTAATAACATCACCATTGCTCGTTTGTCCTCGCCTATTACAAGCATTTAGATATTAATTTCACCTGAAATAATATCGATATATTTTTTTGTAATGAGTATATGCATTTACATAATATAGAAAGTTACTTCTAAATATATTATAAATTGTTGTTTTAAGCATACAATTGGTTTTTAATTGTGATTATATTATGATATATTATTATAATGTTATATATTACTATTGTTCAAAGAAATAAATAATTTTAATCGATTTTTATGTTGAATGTCAAATCAAGTAATCAATATAACTCTTCGTGATAAAAAAAGCCTACTTACCTATAAATAAAAAATTAAGACAATCATAATAATGCAAAGGACAGAAAAAAAAACTGTTACTATTCCTGTGAAAGTCTCTATTGAATATATTTTAACACGAAACGCTTGGACGCCTTGAAATATGCACATAAAAGTTTAAATTACAAAGTTCCAAGAGCTTAAGATAATTGGTTCAGTCGATCAGTATTTTAAACGTTTTTTATTTCGTAATATTTTTCACACGAAATGAGCTCATCTTATTGTCTTCTTACGACTGGTTTTTCTTGACTGTTTAAAATTATATTCAATTTACATACAATTGTAACTATTCGAATTTTAAATGAGTATGCAAAAAGAGAAGAGCCGTGATAGCTGTGTCCGGGCGCTCGATTGTAATTCAATATACTCGAGCATCCAGAGTTCAAATCCTGCACCAAAGTGCCGGCACCAAGGAAATTGTTAAATTTAAGTGCCGACTTATCACGTGCTCAAAGGTGAAGGAAAACGACGTGAGAAACCCTGGGTACCTTCGAAATAATGAAAAGATATTTCGAAGACATATGGAATCCAACCTGCAGTGGAGTCGCGTGGTAGACTATGTCCTTATACCCTCTGTAGAGAGGAGGCCTTTGCCCAGAAGTAGGTCATATTATACAGCTCGTTACTTTACTTTTACTTATTCAAAACTTGTGATGAAATTGCGTTTGTACAAGTTATTATTGTACAAGCGTGATTGTGGCATGCAGCTTGGATTTTAAGCCTTTGGCGTTATTTAATTTTACTGTCATAGAGCCAAGAAACATGTTCCTAGTGCAACAACGAAAGAACCCATAGAAGATCAGCGTGACTTAGAAGTATTATAACTTTTGCGTTTCTCTGGCCAATGATGTAATCGCGGTCCCGTCTTTAAAAATGGAAAACGCATCTGCAACTCCTCAGCTCTTAGAGATGGAGACCTTAAAACAGCAGCACCGCCTGATTGGTTTCCAACTTTCACAAATAAAAATATTTTCAGTAAAGATTATAACAACCGAGATCCTTTCCTCAAATGTTCAGATCCCCACTAGATCAGTCAAAATGTTTATCAGTCTGTCTTTTGTTCAATGTCAGTCTTCGGTCAGTGCTCGTCGGTGACAGAAGACTGACATTGGTCAGTGACGTTATTTAATGCCACTTGTGTCTCGTCGGGATCGAAACCAGCAAATTAGAGACAAATCAGCTAAGGTCTTAATTTTTAAAAGAAATGTTAGAAAAAGCATTAGATTATTAAAAAGAAGTTATTTGAGATATAGGAAAAGAAGCAAAAAGGAATTAAAACACGTTGTAGCTTTCAATTCTTCTGAACAGTTTGATTTTCATCATGATAACCGCAAGGAGCCAGTCCGCTGGCAGCAACACGTAACGGATGTCGTGGTCAGAGTGGTGACCTTCGATTCTGTAGGTTATCTGTGAAACAGAATTCTGTATATATTATTTTGTCTGTCTCCTAAGGAGAAAAAAATATGGACGAAATAATGAACAGGAATTAGCGTCTCGAATCACATTTTTAAAAATCAAACTATAATCAGCTCAGATGAAATTGTGATACCATAAATTCTAATCCGATACCCAATATCCAAAATCTTTTCCCAGTTGAGGGACAGTGACTGAGTTAAGTCAAATAAGACAGCTAACTTAATATAGTAATTTGTTGTGGGTATGATAGCTCATACTGGCCTAATGGAAATGTGGTATGGGTACGATAGGTCACAAACAATGATTTAAGCAGAAAAGTGCAAATACCTTTGGATTTCCCCTGGTCTCCGGTGGCCTGATAAGCTTGTCTTCAACGCAGAAGAACACAGAAGCAGTGGCTTGCGGCACTGGATACGCTGCAGTCGGTTGGCTGAACATGGCCTAGACGTACCAAACTCACTTTTATAATAATACAAGCTATGTTGACGTGCTCTTGAATCTTGGACTTTTTTCTTGATTGACTTCACTTTATTGTAAAGTGCAACATTATGAGTGTTGCAAATGTCAATGGGCGACGGTTGTCACTAAACATCAGGTTAACCGGCAGCTAGTTTGCCACCTTTTCACTGAAACATATCACTTTGTTACGGTCTGGATATTTATATAAACATGGTAGACGACTGTGTCAATAACTTAAACTCTACTGTAGTAGGCCCGCAGTAGATCGTCTGGGAAATCGACGATATGATAAAAGTCACCTCGTCATCATTTAAGAGTCTCGTAACCTTTCACCGTTCACCTGATGTTCAGTGAATACCGCCGCCCATGGACATCTGCTACACTCGAGGGTTCCAGATGTGTTGACAACCTTTTGGAAATCGGGCTCCGGCCACCTCACTCTCCCGACGAAACGCGAAAGTATTATACTTCCACTTTACGCCGGTCTTCTGAGAGGTCGTGGTACTTACGCGGACGGACCTGCCCATTCATGCTACAGCGAACATTGTTGCGTGACCCTACCACAGTTAATCGGAATTAATTAATATAATTATTGACACTAATACATTAATAACAACGGTCAATTATTTGTTATCATATAGTATGAAAAATCTATTAATATCAATGAGCATGTTTTGATTGTGCAAAAAAAATGTAACCTCAAAATAGAAATACTTCAAGCACTCGTTCTTAGTGCTGCCTTTGTACTTCAGCGAGTATTTGAAGGTCTTCGTCAGGTTCCACTTCTTCTCGATGGTGTCGGCAATCAGCTTCTCGCTTGTAACGGCGAGGGGGGGTCCGAGGCTTGTCAGGGGCACCTTAGGCGGGGAGGTGTAATAGTCACGGGTGCCTACAAGGCATTCAATAGAAACGGACGTCAATATGTGGAGATTTAACACAACATCAACAAGTGAGCTTGTCTTAAACCTAAAGGGGTGGTCAGATATAGTTGATATTATGTTCCCAAAAGTGGGATCTAGAGAGATATCCAGATCGATTGTTCACTTGTTTTTTAACGTTAGGACGAACCGGATGACAGGAACATTGAAAAATGTATTTATATATCATCTCATTTAAATAAATTTATTTTTGGTAATTTCTATATTCTTTTGAACCATTCTTTCTAATCGATAGATAATTTTCACTTATGAAATAATTTATAAGTAAAAATCGATTCAAGCCGCCAGATTTCGAAGGAAAGAAATTAACTTTTCATTTTTAAATTTCGTAATCTCCGGAGTCCAAGCTCCTATACCAATGAAAGTGTGACACCACCTGGGAGCTAAACCGAACCCAATGCAAAAATAGTTTTTAAAATCGTTTCATAAATGACGGAGTTCTGACGTTTCGGAGGAGGTTTTACGGTGGTAGGGCCACGCAGCAGCCTCGGCTGTTGCACGAATGGGCAGGCTCGTCCGGGTCCCGACACCGACGCACCGTACCACGACAACACCGAAGACCGGCGTAAAGTGGAAGTATAATACTTTCGCGTTTCGTCTGGTGAGTGAGGTGGCCGGAGCCCAATTTTTAAAAGGTTGTCAACGCATCTGGAACTCTCGGGTGTAGCAGATGTCCATGGGTATTAACATGCGGTATTAACATCAGGCACTTAACATCAGGTGAACCGTCTGCTCGCTTGGCAACTTTTCACATAAAAAAAAGGAGCGGAAACAAATTGAGAACCTCTTTTTTTGAAGTCGGTTGATATATTTTTAACCTGGAAACCCACACACACACACCTGCGAGTTGCCTCAACGTCTGCCGAGTCCCGACCGTCTCTTTGGCCCGGTTTATAACAGACACCACCGTGTCTATCGCCCTCTCCTCATACGAATATATTTCCGACAAATTCATGCCCAATTTGAAATAATAATACTTCTCCTTATTCTTTTCTGTTTTGGCGGTAAAATAATAGTATAAAAAACAATGTTGTATTGTTTTAAAACATTTGTGTGACAACTGCAATCAAATTTTGACATTAATAGAAGGCCACAAACAATGAGTTTATTTTTTTTAAATAACTGTCGACAATCGATGAGGTTTCTTGTATGACGTGAAAGTGTTGTGAGTTACATTACAAAATCCTATCATAATAATCTTTTTGGTATTTTTTTTATGTGAAAAGTTGTTCGTTATTACATTATTCAAAATAATCAGTCACGTTATGTTGTAAGTGAGACGTTTACAAAATAAATAACTGACGCTTATTTATTACACCGTACATTTTTAAACGTAAAACGAAGACAGCACTGGGCTGTTTCACTAAATTATGGAGTTACATTACAATGCAACGAGCAAGAAATTAATCACGTCCACTAGATAAAAAGTATGTCTTTTACATTGAGTAAAATGTATTAGTTTTGCGGCAATAGAAATAGAATAGCATTGCACACATAGAATGTTCATATAAAATAAGGTCGCTCATAGACATTTACTTACCTGAGATTTTTTAGGTTGCACGTCGGTAAAGTTGTGAATAGCCAAAGTTGACAGTTAAACTGAAGTATGTAAGTGACTACGGCCGGCTATAACTCCACGGGTTACAGATTCGATTAATGAGTGGGCTCGTGTAACCTCATTTTTTTTTAGGCTGGATGAGCCAATGTTGGCCTTAGGGGCCTTTACAATTCCGACGGGCTTGAGGTGGCCTGGCGCACGAGGCGCCTAGCCTGAACCTCAGTCACCAGACAGAATATAACACTAAATTCACGTCGGTCTTTTGTGAGGCCGTGCTTACCTATTAGTGCAACAATCAGAATCTGCTATGTGGCCCTACCACAGGAGATAAACTCGAATATCAGTTTTGGTTCGCTTTTTAATTTTTTCTAAATTTTAATCGGCTCGTTAGGCCAGTGCCAAATTGCTTAGTGATGGCATTCGGTAATGTGAGTTGGTATCCATTACCACTTAGGACTGATAGCTCAGTGTCCGGGCGCTCGCCTTCAATTACATACTCGAGCAACCTGGGTTCGATCCCCGGTGCCGGCACCAATGGAGTTTTTTAACTTTAAGTGCTGAATTATCACGTGCTCCGCGGTGAAGGAAAACATCGTGAGGAAACCTGCATATTTTCGAAATAATAACAAAAAAAATGTATTTCGAAAATATGTGAAGTCCGCCAATCCGCAGTGGGGCCGCGTGGTGGACTATGCCCTGATACCCTCTGTATAGAGGAGGCCTTTGTCCAGCAGTGGGACATGTATAGGCTGTTACTTTTTACATTCATTAGTTTAACTGTGACAAAAAAATAATGTTAACTGTGCTGGGGCCACGCAGCAGTCTCGGCTGTTGCACGAATGGGCAGGCCCATCCGGGTAATACTTTAAAGTATAATACTTTCGCGTTTCATCTGATGATTAAGTTAGCCCAATTTTCAAAAGGTTGTCAACGCATCTGCAACCCTCGGGAGTAGCAGATGTCCATGGGTGGCGGTATTCACTCAGCTTCAGGGGAACCCCCTGTTCGCTTGGCAACTTTTCACATAAAAAAATTGCTCTGCGTATTACTGTACCGTATGGCATGGAGCGAATGAACTAATAAATACCGGATTGTGCATACGATTTCGCGATGGTGACATCATACTAATGCATTTATGACTTTGTTATGCGACCTTTAAATTGTAATGATCCGTAATAAGCTGTTTATTCTTGTATAGCTCAATCATCTTGTAAATACATACATAACATTTACAAGTGCTTTAGCATATTGAATAAAAATGAACGCGCGAACGCTGAGCTATCAGGGATACTTATCAAATACCATTCAAAATTAAAAAAAAAAAAAATCAGTATCTCGGAACTTTCGACTGAGTGAAATAATGTAGATGATAATTTTTTTATTTAAAAGAACAGTATTTACACATAACTAGTCACAGTGATGCCAGAGCAGCTCTAATGTTTCGATTTTCATTTGATCCTAACTGTGCAGTTTATAATGGCATTTTACGAGCTAGTATGTACATACAATGGCTGTGACCCCGAATTTATTAAAAATGGCCATTTCAAAATGTCTCTGACTTAGGATCGAATACGAGACGAGGACTTACGGTACGGTTGCCTTTGCTCCTACCATTAGGTCGCGTCTACACAACAAGAGATGACTCCGTGGCGCAGTTGCTAAGGTATTGGCTTCGGCGTCGGAAGTCGTGGGTTCGATTCCACACGGGACAACTATTTGTGTGACCCACAGATAGTTGTTTCGCATGTTTGTGAAATGTCCTTACAACACAGGATAATTTTATCCTAAAGTAAGGGCAATGTTTAAAAAAAATGTGTATGAATAACAATATATCAAGAATTCTTCAAACTTCCAATTCACGCTATTCGTAACGTCTAGAAAACCTTCCGTGCTAAATATTTCGTTATACTTTAACGTAAATTAAAGAAACGTCAAGTGGAAAAACATCATTCGATGTAATTGCGTTATTTGAATGCGATAAAAACCGTTGTTACGATTTCGTGCCGGCGCTGTTAACTTAATAAGATTTTATTTTACTTTAAGGAATTTAGAAAACTAGTTCACTACGTCAGGAAATCGCTGTCGATAATGTGTTCGTAGCCTAAGAATAGTAATACTTAATGACTTTACTATAACTATAAAAGCACGATTTCTGGTCTCATGTTGATGATGGATAATCGGGCTAGTAATCAAAATAGAGTTTAAAATACGCAATGAAATAGTGGAGGATCCGAATTAAAATCTGTTTAGTTGATAATTTTTTTTAGGTTAAATTTAATGTCTATATTAGAAAATTCATCGCGAGTGGGTTGGGTAAGAAATTCATTGCCATGATATGATTAATTAAAAATAAAAAAAATATAATTTTAGTTAATATTATACACAGAGTTTAACGAATAACCAAATTAAATCGAAAGTATGAAGCCTGTAATTTTTTTAACTAACCTATTCGCGATGTATGTTTCTGTACCAAATTTAATTTAAAAAAAATATACTCTTAACTGATGCGTCATGGTGGTTTTTACTTCTGTTCGTAGACCAGTATTATTTGGAACTCGGTTTTGAGTCGACAGAGCCTGCCGCATGTCAGAACCAGTTAATATTTTTAGCTATTTCAGTGACAGTCTTAACGCTAGTTTCTTTTTGGAAGTTAAAAACTGCGAATTACTAAACACGCAATCCATAATTTATAAAAAATATTAATATTTTATTTTGACATATTATCAATTCGAACATTGTTTGTTTATCCCGTTAAGAGTGGTCACCCTATTGATAAGTGTTTAGTAATTATGCGTTCAGCGAAAAGTTTTATTGCTCGTCTATAGGTTATTGTATTGAGACGGTAAGGAATATCATAAGGTGTCCATAACATTTGAAAATTAAAAAAATCTTTAAAAAGAATGAGGTGACAAGTACGTACCAGATTCAGATTAAGAATCAAATTCTGCATATGCTCTGTTAATATATCCGTCGTCTATTAAAATAATGCTCTGTAAACATTTAATATCTATAATATCGGTTTATGCTGATAAAAAGCTAGTGCATAAAATTATTGAGATACATTAAAATATTGTAAATAATTTCAAGAAATCAAGGAGATATCGTCTGTATTATTAAATAATTAGCAGTTAATTAATGCATATCCGAAATATTATTATTTTGACTAAATACCTGTGCCTATATAACAAATAATTTCTTAAAGGTAAGTAATATAAGTTATCGTTCATTTGTAATCACGAATACGCAATTCGTTGTAGCGTAGCTATTGTTGACACGTTCAGTATGAACAACCTGCACAGATCATACAATAATGCGTCATACGAGCGAAAGTAAATATCTATTCTTTTTTTTAATTCACGTGAGTCACCGGACACACGGCTCGCTGACTCCGTACGTGAATACTTTAAAAGGTGCGCTTTTTAAATAATATGTATAATCGCAACAAACATTTTTTACTCTCATAAATATTTGAAAGATTTATTACAATAGACATTTTCAAAGTCATGATTACGGTTATTTACCCTTGTGTTTAATTTTTTCCTATTAATATGCGAAGGATAATATTTTAAATTTTAATTTTTAATCTGCTATGTGAACGTCTGTTGAGCTCAAGGTCGCCGACGAGTTTTGCACCTTTCGTACGAGAAAGAGATGGAAGATGCTCCAGGGTTGATATTATAAGAGATAGCTATTTTGCCTTTATTATAACAGCGTATTACTTGCTCAACTCAACTCAAAATATCTTTATTCATATAGACGCTTGCGCGTTATTATGAAACACCGAATTTTACATAAAAATTGATACATAAGTTCTTATGTATTTTACCAACGGTTCGGAAAGCAATTTCTGTTGAGAAGAGACCGGAAACAAACTCAATAGTTGCCTTTTTTTAAAATATCTGTTTACAATATACGAGTAACATGGTACTGGTATAATAGTCTTATTTTAGCCTACGTGAGTATCAATAGCATTAATTCCTCAGACCTCACATTGGCGTCGTCGAGATGCCGCAATGGTACAATGTGCTTTAATCATGAGTTTACTTTTAAGTGACAACATCCATGTAGAAATTTAGTTTTGGATAATTGGAGTTAATCATCTTAAATGCCCATACGGAATTCTCTACTATAATCTACACATAGTTGTGAGTAGATTTTATTAAAATGTCAAACATTCTTTTTGGATCTTCAGGCGATATATGTGTTACTTTAGACAAAATATCTATTAGGATGGTCTTTTAACAAAGAACTAGTCATTTAGTAATAATAAAAAACCCTACGCACTCGGCAACTGTCTTAACGAACTATTATAGGTTTCATAAAACGAATCACTAAGCCTTTCAAAAAAATCAAAAGGTTAATTATCCTCTACAATTGTCTGGTAAGAAGCAATCTTG